AATGCCCGAGCGCACACTGGGCCAGATGGCCTTCAAAACCTCCAATAAATCAGAAAAAATCATTTTTTAATATTTCATCGTTTGAATATGGCTTCATATGCAAAACTGAATGGCGCATCCGATGGTGCTGTTCATTTTTGTCTTTGATAGTGTCTAAGCGGTGTAATGTAGCGCCAAACACAACAATTGCAGGTGAGTTAAGCAGTAGGTAGTTAACCGTCAGGTACGCGAGCTAAGTTTGTGTAGCTAGTTAGTCAAAATGTGGGAACCGCGTGATCAAATGATGCATGCCGCTGAACTCCTTATCCCATATGGTTATGGAAACCACCCTGAGAAGGAAACGACCCATTATTCTTTAGCATTTTTTGGCGCGTTTATTTAAGTCTGTTCAATTATGAAAAACGAAAGTGTCGCAGGTAAGTGTAGAGCTACACAAAAATGCCTGTGATATCCGAATGAGATTTTTTCAGGGAATGCACCCCAAAGTCCGTAGATTGTGTTTCTGAAGAGAAAAATTGCGCAAGTTTGCGCGTTTTCCGTTTTTTTTATGTTTCCGTATTATGATGTGCAATTTTGACGTTTATTTTTGCGAACATCTTTTTCGCATCTCCCAGATTATCTCTGGAACTAAAAGTCGTAGCGAAATGCACGAGGCGGCGTTGGAAAGCACTCGCCTAGGCGCACCTGAAGCTCTCTTAAAACTTGGTAATGTAGGTCACCTGACAGGTCAAGGTCAGGTCAAAGGTCAAAATCGAACATGTTCACATTTGGGGCTCTGGGGACCGCATTGCCGATAATAGCGGACCGAATTTGGGCCAGATCACTCACAATGCCTCGTGGAAAAAATGAGCGTGTTGCCCGTGACGAGAGGAAGGCGATGATACCCAATTTTAAGGTCCTAGGTCATTGGTCGACCTTCCAGATCAGGTCAATGAATCCAAAGTCGGGAAAATCGGGACCTGCTGGAGCTTCGTAAAGGGAAGCTGTTATGGAGTTTTTCGGGGCGCTGATCACGAATATCATGTTAGTTTTGATCACAGATGATGTCTTTATGCATTTAGGCCAGGTCGGGTCAGGTCAGGTCAGGTCAACCAGTAGGGGTCGTGACGGGTATTCGTAGTACGTGTCAACTACCACTAACGGCGTCGTAACATGTTACGAAGGCACTAAAACTATTTTGTAAATGTTGAAATGGATGCTTAATTCGAAATCAGCCCGAAAACTGCCCTCGAAACATGTAAAACTCGAAAAAGTGATCCGAGGTCATCAAAGGTCAATGACCTGACCTGACGCTCAGGTGACCTTGACACCCACCGTAATGCGTGTGACGAACATCATTTCACATGTTTGGATGTTTATAATCACACAAAAAAGACTGGAAACGCGCGGATAATGTGAGGTGACATACGCAGAATCGCGATTCCGGAATAACCTCTCAGAAGGTATGTCACGCTAATTTCATCCATTTTCCCATTTTTATCTATCTTGAACATCAAAATACGACGCAGAACTGGGTTCAGCGCACAAAAGTACGTCAGGAAACATCATTTTGACCCGTTCGGTCGTTCGGTTGATTTATTGGCGGTTTTGAGGGCCATCTGGCCCTGTGTGGAGCAGGGGGGGGGGCGGGCCCTGAGGCCCCCCCCCCTTGGGTGCGCCACTTTAGCCGCCAGGCGCCGGGCCGGGCCCTGGACGGTTGTCGGATCTGGTATCGGCCGCCTGGCGAGTAGGCAGCTCCCGCTGCACTGGAGCCGGACCGGCGGAATGCTGCCGGCCTTCGGGAGACGGCGCACACCGCACCGTGGGCACTTTGGCGATCCTGCGCGACATAAGTGGCAAATACGAGTATTTTGATTTTCACTTTCTTTAGATACTTTTCTACGCAGAATTGTCCAATGTATCCGAATCTGACCTTAAATCGCTTTAAAAATGATGAATTATACATCAAAATATGTCACAAAATGAAGGGTTGCGCTGACTAGCACCGTGTTCCTAGGATAAGGCGAAAAATTACTTGACAACGGAACGCCTGCTCGCTCGTTTAATCAAGCACCAATTTGATGCTGCGACATGATTGTTACGAGCGAGCGAGCGCAGCGAGCGAGCGAGTTCATACTGAATTAAGGGAAAATCCTGAGTATGAGCGGCCGGCCGGCCGTGGGGACGCTCTTCAAAAGCTAATATCTTAGGAACGGGACATCCGATTGACAAGCGGTCTTCTTTACTGAATGTCACTTGGACGTAAAAGTTCTGTGGTGTGATGGCCACCATGCGTTCTTGCCAACCACCGCACGTGGCGCGTGGTAAAGTTGGACATTTTTTAAGAACCCCCAAAATTGCAACCTCAATAACGGCACAACGGTTGAGCCGATTGAATTGAAACTCGGTACACAGTTAGGTCTCCATCAGATAATTCAGCTGCATGTGTTAAGGTTGGGGTGCTACAGCACGTGCGCACGTGCAGGGGGCGCTCCCAGATCTCGAGAACGGCTGGGCCGATTGCGCTCAAATTTGGTACACGGTTGGGGACCAGTTAGTAGGGTGCCGTGCAAAAGTCAGCTTGGACCCCGCTTGCACGTGCGCACGTGCAGAATGCCGCTTCCAGATCTCAGGAACAGCTGGGCCGATTGCGTTCAAATTTGGCACACCGCTAGCGACCGGTTAGAAGGGTGCTTTGCATAAGCCCGTTGAAAGTACCTTCTCGCACTTGCGCACGTGCAGGGCTCACTATCTCGCTCGCTCGTTCTTCGCCCAAAAGGCGTTATACTGGTTTTATAATTACGAGCGAGCGAGCGCAGCGAGCGAAGCGAAGTCTTTTCAATATTTAAACGGAAAAATCTCAGTATGAGCGGCCCGGCCCGGCCCGGCTTGTAACGCTTTTGAGAGGCTTATATCTCAGCAACCGCTCGACCGATTGGCCTGCGGTCTTTTTTGCTGGGTAGCGTAGCCCCATCCCTTCTACCCCGTAATTGACTACTTTTGACACATCTCAGTGACCGTCGTGGCACGTGCCACGTGAAAAGTCAAGGGTGTTCAAGCTGTTTTGCAAAAGTAGTGATTTTGAGAGGCTCATATCTCAGCAGCCGCTTGGGCGATTGTCTTGCGGTAATTTTTGTAGGATAGCTGCATCCCTTCTACCAAAGGTCGGATACTCCTGATCTATGTGAGTGACCCCCACTGCACGTGCAAAATACAAAAAGAAGAGGTGTCAAATTTGTTCCCATTTCAATAACTCGGTAATTGCTGGGGCGATTTCGCTGAAACTTGGCACACAGGTAGGCACCCAACAGGCAATGCATTCCCATGTGTTGCGGTTAGGGTGCTACTGCACGTGCGCACGTGCAGGGAGCGTTTCCAGATCTCGAGAACGGCTGGGCCGATTGTGCTCAGATTTGGTATACGGTTGGGAACCGGTTAGTAGGGTGCCGTGCAAAAGTCAGTTTGGACCCCGTTTGCACGTGCGCACGTGCAGAATGCCGCTTTCATATCTCAGGAACGGCTGGGCCGATTGCGTTCAAATTTGGCACACCGCTAGCGACCGGTTAGAAGGGTGCTTTGCACAAGCCGGTTTGAAGTACCATCTCGCCTTTCCGCACATGCAGGGCTCACTATCTCGCTCGCTTGTTCTTCGCCCAAAAGGCGTTTTACTGGTCTGTATTTAACCCGGCAGTTGCTGGGGTATTTCGCCACCCACCGTTTGCTGGGGGGGGGGGGGGGCGTTAAACGCCCCCAGCCGATAACTCGAGAACCAATAGGCGCAGCGAAACGCACGAGGCGGCAAACGAAAGAACGCGACGAGACGCTTCAGATGAGTACTTTAAAGTTGAATTTTGAGGTCACAGGTCGGGTCAAGGTCAGGTCAAACACCTGAAATCGGGCTTTCAGTAGCATGGACTTCAGGACTTTGCAATGGGCGCCTCTCGTCATAAACTCTGTCAAAACGGTGTACAATCCATCATATAAGGCCTACAAGAGTGTCAGCTCCATGTAGGGGTCAGTCAAGCATAGGTCAGGGTCAAGGTCAGGTCAACCGGGCAGGCACATATCCCCGAAAATCAAAACTGATATTCGCAGCCTGTGACACATGTTTTATGGGTAATTTGGGGCGTAGAACACGATGGTGGCATTCATTTTATCATATGTGTACGTGTTTGGCTAAAAAAGTTCAATTTAAGAAATACATGTATCATGGTCGTGAAGTAGTCACGAGAAATTGCCAAGATTCAGTTCAAGATTTTGGAAAATGCGGAACGATAATCAATAATCGAAGATAGCCATTTGATTGTTCATGGTATTGGCAGTCTAATGGCGTTTACGGCATGTCTGTATGTCTATTCTGTGATTTTATATGATTTTTTGAACATATGCCGTTTTTGGTCGAAAACTCAGAAATCATGACGTCACTAAAACCTCGATATCTCAAAAATTTTCCGACAGATTTTTTTGAAACTTTGTCACAATAAACTTTAATCAATTCCCTACAGGTACCCAAAATTTGGCGCGCCTGCGGCTCCGTTTTTATGCTATGGCCCGGCGAAAAAAGTGGGGGCGTTTAACGCCCCCCCCCCCCCAGCAACTCGCGGGTTAATGAGCAATATGAGCATATACATGACAAGCTCGAAACATAATCCAAAGGCATGATTTTTGAATGAAAAACAAATATGCCACTTGTCTCGGAGATTTGACTCGGCAAATCATAGCTTTACAAAGTGAATTACGCGGTGTTACGTGTGGAAACACATATCAAAATATTCTCCCATAAATTCTGCATTGAAATCAACTCTAATCTTTTGCCAAATTTTGCCCAAACAACTACTACGAGACATCAAATCAGAAGATGTCGCGTGGCTCCCAGCGCTCCGCCGCGCTGCCCGGCGCCGCGGCGGTCAGCTGACTGCGGCGTACCGCCGCAGGAGTAAAGTCGTGCTAGGAGGGGTAAAGTCCCCACAGTGCACCGCCTTGGCCCCGATTTGTCAAGCTCAAACCATAAACACAACGGCGGCCAGCAGACCCTAGCGGGACGTCGACCAGCACGCCCCCTCCAGTCAGCCGATCGGTGTTCAGCGGAATGCTCCGGGTGTGCTCCTAAGTGTTCCGGGTGTACCCTGGAGTGTTCGGTGTGTGTCCTGAGGTGGTACGTATGTATGTAGGTACTCTGGAATGTTCCTGGTGGGGTCTGGGGTGTTCTGTACAGTGTACGCCCTAGGGCCTAGGGTGTGCTGTACATTCTGTACGCCCTAGGGCCTAGGGTGTGCTGTATGTACTCTGAGGTGTTCCGGGTAAGGTCTGGGGTATTTTGTGTTCTCTAGGGTGTTTTCCGTGTGAGAGCGTATCGTACGAGCTCATCTCAGGATGAGCTCATCTCAGCACCTCCCACAGAGGCGGTGCTCTGTGGGTTACCGCTTAGTTTCCGATCGGTTTGGCGTCAACTGAATGAAAGCCAGCGTATTCGAGTTGCGCGGGCCACGTCTGACCGCGTGGGCTACTATCCCGCCAGTACATGTATGTGTGTATATGTATGTACAGGATGTCTTAAAAGTTCGTTGACACATTTCCAAGGCCAATTAAACACATAAGAACCAGCCGAAAACCTAAAGGTTTTGATATGTGTAAACTTGACAAAGCTGCATGCCTTGGCAAATGATTAGGAATGCTTGATACCAACTCCTGCGCTGTATCTCCAAAAATATTTGCCCACACCGATTTGCGTCGCTCCAACAGCTGCCGGAGGCTGACAAAAGGTTTCCTGCTTTTAACCCTCGCCCGTATAGGGGGGGGGGGGTCGAACGGACCCCCCCATGGTTTTTCGCGAATAACTCGCGTAAAAAGCGGCCGATCGCAACGAAACTTTCAGTACCCTCGCGTTAATCAATTTTACACCTACCCTGAAATTTCATGACCCTGACCCCAATGACCTTTGACCTGTGACCTACTTTTCGAGACCATGTTTGGCCGGAATCGCGATTCGGCGTATGTCGGCTCGCATTAGCCGCGCGTTTGCAGTCTTTTCGTGGTTTCAAGCGCTCAAACATGTGATATGATGTTGCCCCCATGCATTAGGGTGGGTGTCAAGGTCACCTGAAGGTCAGGTCAGGTCACTGACCTTTGGTGACCTCGGTTCACTTTTTCGAGTTTTACATGTTTCTAGGCCAGTTTTTGGAGCTGAATTCGAATTTAGCAACCATATGAACATTTACGAAGTAGTTTTGGCGCCTTCGTAACATGTTACGAAGCTGTCAGAGGTGGTTGACACCTACTAGGAATACCCGGCGGGACCCCTACTGGTTGACCTGACCTGACCTGACCCGACCTAGACTAAATGCATAAAGACATCATCTGTGATCAAAACTAACATGATATTCGTGATCAGCGCCCCGAAAACCCCCATAGCAGCCACAATTTACGACGTTCTAACAGGTCCCGATTTTCCCGACTTTTGGGTCATTGACCTGACCTGCAAGGTCAACCAATGACCTAGGACCTTAAAATTAGGCATCATCGGCTTCCTCTCGTCACGGGCAACACGCTCGTTTTTTCCGCGAAGCTCTAGCTCAATCAGGGGCGAAACGGCAAGGGGGGGGGGGTCCAACGGACCCCCCCCCCCCCTTATACGTTCGCGGCTGGAAAAACACCAATACGGGCGAGGGGTGCGGGTGCGCGAAGGGTGCGTTTCACGCGTAACGCTATGAGAAACGTTTTTCGTAAATATCTAGAGCATCGTTGCTTCGATTGCCTTTGTTTTTGGATATGTTATGAAGGACGTTAACCTCGTCATCACAGAGTGGTTACCGTTGTTCTGCAATCCACATATACTGAGCAATTTAGACAAACATATTGCAAAATCAAAATTTCAAACGAATAGAACTCAATAACGGATTGTCGTACGACTGTGATGTTTGCAGTTTTGGACTGACGAAGTCAAGGAAAACATTTCCTAGCAAGCCTTTTTTCAAATTTTGTACTATGTTTTGCATGATACAATTTTCATCTTGCAGTGCATTGCATGAAAGCCATGACAACAATTTCAAAAATGTGGCTGCTAGGAATCATAAAGACATCGATTCTCTACACAATCCTGTAGAGTGAATCATCATTGCATGCATCACTATGCAGTTCTATTCATTTGAAAGTCATTGCACAGCTAGTTCATAAAATCGCCGTGAGATGTCTCTGGCTGTATGGCCCGCGCGTTTCGACGGTCCCCTCGGCCCGTCACTCAGCGGCGCTTGTTGACACAGTGTCACAACCATTAGTTACGGCGCTCCGCTAGCGTTCGGCCGCCGTCGAGGTGCTCTGAACCCCCACTGCTAAGTTTCGCCGTGACCAGACGGGTCGGAGACTCATCCCACGATCTATCCATGAGCGGCGCCCAGCCAGGCGTCTCCTATCGCGCGCCTCTCACTCTTGATCGGGAGTACGCCGGGAAGAGCTTGTGAGAAACTAACAACTTTGAAAGATGTCACAAGTTTGTGTGAGTGGTATTGCGAACAGCGAACAGGTATATTTTTACAATAGGTATTTGACCTGACCTGGGCAGTCCGTAGCCCGTATTTGACCTGACCTGGGGCTGGGCAGTCCGTAGGTACTGAACATAAATAATGAAAATAACCAGCAATGCCTACAGATTCCATGGAGACATAGACCCTGAGTGACGTGAGACCAAATATCAGTTCGACTGTTATGTCAAAACCCTCGCCCTGGCAGGGTATTTTTCATACCCTGCCATTTGTGACCTGACCTCTGTGACCTGACCTGGTATCAGTGACCTCAAATAGCAAAATATGTGTTTGAAGAACATTTCCCCATCGATGATTTTCAATGAAATGCATTTTACTCGATTTTACAGCGCATTTCTTGAAATGCCTGTAAACGGTGAAAATTCGACCTTTGACCTGAACTGTGACGTCATCGGTTTGACCTAGGTCCACAAAATTGGGTCACAAGGTATTTCCCTGATAGGGCTATCCAACACCGTTTGCCGCTTGTCGCTAGGTTGCGTGGTTCTCGAGATCTTAGGGGGGCCAAAATGCCCCCCCCCCCAACGGGGCGCGTTGCTCGGCAGAGCCCAACGGGGCGCGGGTTAATTATCTACCGCAGACTCGAATGTAACTGATCCGTTCAGGCAATTCACGTGCCCATTTTTGTCACTTATAGTGCGGAGAGGATCTAACTCAACCGCAGGGGGCGTCTTTTCCAGCCTCTGGGGTAAGATGCCCCCTTGCACTTCTTCAGGAAAATGATTTATAGCAAAAAAGTTATCATATTTCAAGCACAAAAGTGTGTTATTTTGTGGAAAAAAATGATGTCGGGTTCCGTTGAAACTCCACGTTTTTGCTTTCCGATTGTCATTTTCAAATAATTTATGACATTGTAAACCCCTGGGCATCTTTCACCACTCTCCCCTACTTTTGCATAAAAAGGGTAGGTATATACCTTTTTCGATGTAGCTCATCACGGGGAATCCAATCGGTCAGGGGCGTCGACGCGTAAGGAAAACTGGTCCGACTTTTTCTCGGGGGGCCCCCACCGGTGGGGGCCCCCAGGTGTCATTTACGGCAACCTATCAACTCTAGACCATTTTGAAACTCTTAGACGTTTAGACGTAATAAAGATTCAGGAGAGGTTATTGAAAATATTGTGACCTTGGCTTAACCCTAGCCATTTAAAAGATATCCATGCAAAACGAGTGGGGCGGGCACAGGCGTAGTAACGGAGGGACAGGGGGCCACCCCCCCCCTTTCGGCCAAGTTTCATGCTAAATTCTCTGATTTTGCTCCAAAGACAAAACTAAAGCAGCACACGATTCAGCAAGAGGAGCTCAAAACTGCCCTCAACTTTTTTTCCGTAGGGGTACCTATTGAATTTCCCACAAAGTGAGATCAAAATCAAAGTTTCCCTGACCGGGGTCTGCCCCCCCCCCCACTTTTCGTAACGCTCCTACACCCATGGGGCGGCTGTACTCACCAGTGGGACATGGGCCATGGGATACACTATGAAGAATTTGAGTAATACATAACATGCGCACATGACGTCGGCCTTGCTTATGAGCACAACGGGACACGAGTACAACCACTACCATAATACATATTACATAAATATTCAGATTTCAGAGTAGTACAGTTACTCAATGGTGAGCACAATGCAATTTGCATCAGCATACCCGAAGGTTGTTTCTTCATTAGACAAACACTATTCTTTAGAATTGTGTTTTTCTATTGAAAAACAAACTGAGGGTGTTTCCATTTCGGGATAGGATTCGTGTTTGGTGCAGCGAATTGGGGCACCTTGCACCGTTTGCACACGAACCGATAGATTTTGATTAAATTTTCAGGGCAGCTGCCCCCACAGATTATCTACCACGAAACCCCCTCAGCTAAGAATATAATTATTTTTCTTGCACGTGGCACGTGCACGTGTTTTAGGCCCATAAGGCTTCAACATTAGGTGGATTTTCGGCATTGCATTTCTCGCAGACGGGTGCTTGTAATGCGATGGGCTTCTATGTGCTGGGTGGCCGCCCCGGCATCTACCATGAGGCGGCGGCGCTGTTTCGGGCAGCTTCGGGAAGGGGGTGCAAATTGCACGTGCAGCCGCCATTGGTTTAACGTTACGAAATGGGCCAAAACGGGTTTTCTCGATTTGCTCAAAATCGGCTCGATAGATTTTCTTTGTTTTTTGAGTACCGGTAGTCGGTCAGTAGGTTCGTTCGTCAATGTCAATCGCTTGTAATATAATTAACTTTTTTGCACGTGGCACGCGCACAAATTTTCACGTCTTAAGTCAATGGGATTTCTTGAAAAAATTACTTAAATCGATTTTGCTCAAAATTTCCACGTTAGATGTTAAAAATGTTTCAGTATGATATGCACCCACATGTCGCCTACCAGGTGGCATAGGCCATATATGGGGCGATTGAAATGCACGTGCACGCCCCAAACTTGTTTGAGGGGACCACCTCTGTGAAAATTTGACCACTGCTGGTATGATGGCCTGTGCCGCGCAAACAATGAGTGCCAGCAGAACCAATCGAGGTCAGTCGTCAAGGGGATGCTCTAGGATAGTTGTACACCTCATCACGTGGTGCACGTGTTTTCGCACGTGCGCCACGTGGGTGTAGCATTTTGGGATAGGTAG